AATGCTGCTTGTTGTATGGCGATCTCATTGGGCGTCAACATCAGTGGCTGGCTTGCCATTACGCCAGCGGACTGACTCTGGGTCTTCGCCACCGTTGACCCAACAGACCCTGAAGTACCGGCCTGAGTAGACTGTTGTGCTGAGGTGGCCATGGCTTCTGAAGCTGCGACTACACTCGCTAGTGCCCTGCTAACCTCTGCTGCTCTAGCCCTCCTCTGCTGCTGCTGCCTCTCCCTAAGCTGGCGGAACAGATGTCTGTCGCCCTCTGGTCCTAATGCTAAGTGGGCTGCTGGGCGCCTTGCCGATCGCAAGATCCGGTCGTCCGGTTGTTGTTCCTCCCTATCGTGCATATGCTACAGTCCTGTACACAATCTGCACTAATGCACTCTGGGTACCTACCGCAGCGTAGTGCACAAACCAATTAACTGGTGGCTATTTCGGCGATTTTACATTCGGGTCAACAGGTAAGTCAGATTCCTACAAATAAAACTATTTTTAGTTTGACTAGTCCGCAAACAGAAGCATCATGAACAAGACGCAGTTCTAACTAATGCTGTCTGTCAGATGTCAATGGCTGTACACCTAACTAATCAAAACATAAAAATAGAATTATTTGTGTGGATAGGAATTACATACTTCAATGAGTATGGGCAGGACCAAAGATCAACCAATGTAGGATGAGCATATATGCAGCGGAAGTTTGATAAACGGACTGACTCACATAGACTGACTCACATAGACTGACTCACATAGCATCACTCCACACACATACAATCGTGGGGTGTGGGGTCTGAGCCATACATAGAAGATGCTCAGCCCCGTACACACATACACAGATGAATGGGGGAGGAGAGACGAAGAGGTGGGGGGAGGTAGACAGCACCGAAAGTAACCGAGATAGAATCTGATAGGTCACCGATATGGTAGTCCAAAATGTCATCCAACAAGATCAAAATGTCGAGGACCATAGGTCACCAATGTCGGGGATACAGAGTCCAAATGTAACCGGTGTCTGAATTGTGATGCCGCCAAGTATCAACGCCAATGATCCCCAAGTCTCCGATCCGGTAAGTACCACAGTCTCATACCACCGAAGTCCAACACTGATCTCTGTCCAACTAGTATAGGTCTCCAATCTGAAGAAGAAGAAGAAGAAGAAGAAGGAGAAGAAGGAGCCGAGGAGGAGAGAGAGAGAGGGGACTGGCGATGGGAGGGAGGAGAGAAGCCTCCAGCTCCCAATACCTCAGGCGGCTATGGCCGCCGGTAACCCAGTCGCCGCTGCTGCTGCTGCGCTAATCTGCGCTGCGCTGTTCCTCGCTGCTCCTGCGCTAATCTTAGCGCCAGCGCTGTATTGCACTGTACCATACCGTACCGGTAGAATGCCGGTAGGTCGATCCTGGACTCTGGCTGGACCGGTTCTATATACCGGTGGGGCCGAGGCCGGCCTCAATGCTGCGAGGCCTGGCCGTGCCCTGAACCGTCCAGATGGACGGTTCAGCCCCAACCGGTGGGCGACAGCCTCAAGAGCGCCGCCAGGCCCAAACGGTAATGTCGTTTGGGCCTGCCCGTCGGGTCTGGTCCAAGGTGAGGCCTTCATGGCCTGTAGTACCCCCAAGGTCGGGCCTTTAGGCCCTGATGTGTCCCTCTAGCCCTAAGTCGGGTCTGGTAGGACCCGTGTGGCGTCGAAGATGTAACAATAGGACAGCATGGAGTTCCTAACTAATCAAAACATAAAAATAGAATTATTTGTGTGGATAGGACAGCATGGAATTTTATCGAAGTTATCACCTGGAATTTACCCCTCCCTTAGTTCCCCGGAGTATCTCTTGACGTCAGCGTCCCTGAGCAATCCGGAGGCATTGCATGTCTAAAGGTGTGTGTCCGGCCCACCCCTGTGCCCCGAGTATCTGATGAGCTGGCCAGCCCTGCACTGGATTATCCTCGCGTGCAACGAGCCTTACAACCATTGGCTGATCTAGAGGCAATTTAACATCCGCGCCCAATTGACTCCAGGAATTCTTTTACGTCGCAGCCGGACGACGATCACAGCCAATGGTTTCCCTTCCGGTGGTTATTTAAAGACGCCCGGTCTCGTCTCCCTCAAGGGCTGGCCTGCCCAACAGTACCCATCTAACAGCAAAGCAAGCTGAACAAAGGACAAGCAGCAAGGCATGCGTGCTCTCCTCCCTGTGGGTTGGCATGGTGACCGTGACCCAGTGCTTCATCCAGGGCCCTTCAGAAAGCTCCGCCCATTTTCTCCCAGATGCTCCACGTGAACATTGCCAACTCTCAAGGTTGAGCGCACTCGACACCTGACAATGAGAGGACTCTCAAGAAGGAACACACAACCTCACGGTAAGAAGTGTCGGAGAGGGTAGATAAGGTTAAGAGCAACGTACCTCAAATAGCTGCCCCCAACCACAGAGATAATCTCACCAGATGACCAAATGGCGATTGCGATGACCAGTCACTGCATCGGCACAACCAACATTATCTCGCCGTTCCACCTCAGCATCAATCGCACATTCGATAGTTCTCATCACACTGTCCAGACCACATTAACCCCACGTAGCCTTCCTGGCGATCCCCTCACCTCCTGGGTCGCCACTCACTCGCCTCCGCCCTCCTCACTACACACCACTTACGACCAAACTCGCCAAGCAGACCACATGTATGTACCGTACAAGGCAGAAGACCAGCGCCAGATGTGCGCAAACGTACCACAGCTCCGATACCAAATTGCAAGGAAGATGAACAATAGCGAACTTCAGCAATCAAACAGCATCATACATATGAGTCCAGATAGTCGTGACCTCGAACCAACAGCAGAATTGCATCACGAGATTCACCAAATAAGAACACACCAAGAGTTCATAATTGACAATGCTGAAATAGTCCCATCATCATCAACGAAGAACCAGAGTTGATATCCTATCTGGCACTCGGCGCCCAGACTACTTGTGGCAGATCCTATCTAGCCTACACTACGATGCCGAAAGATGACGTCAACAGCTTTCCCGAAGTACGAGCATATGGCGACCAATGTTGCACGCTTCCAGCACGAGGTATGTCTCTCGCCACACTCACAACCTCGTTCCCCAACACACAGATGCCACTAGCACCCAAGGACCACCCTGCGCTTCACCCAGCATACAGCAGTGCAGCTCGGCTATGGCTGCGTGCTCCTTCCCTGCTCGCCCGTGAGAGCGTAGGCGCCAGCCAGCAAATAGCACAGCATGCAGCCAGCACCCGAATGCCGAATCCGGAGGCAGGCCCTTTGTTATATCGAAGTGGCCTGCCTGCGTCCAGTCCCAGGAAGCTTCCAGTAGGCCCCGGTAGCCTGAGGCCCAGCACGATGAAAACAGGCCTTGGGCCTGAGGTGGTTGCATGTGCCCAACTGCCTTTGGCCTGTGTTGGGCCCAGTACCCGTATCCAGCCCAGGGCCTGCTTCACATACATTCACACAGGCATCCCAGGGCTTGGGTTCACTCAACCAACTGGCGCTGCGCAACTGCCTGAATTTCCCTGAGTTGTGTGGTGGCCAGAATAGGGCCCTGAGGGCCTCGTCAAGCCTGCCTTCACTTAGGGCGGCCGACGGGCTGCAAAATGGGGCCTTATGGGGCTCATAGAGGCAGTGGCCTCGCACTAGATACGGCCATATTGGTTTTGGCTTGTATTCAGAGAGAGGACGGTGGTATTTTACATCTCCAGTTCTATGCTTTTGTGTGGTCTGACGTTGTGAATGAAGTTTATGGCTCACCCACCCTCTCTGTCCCCTCCTCATCAGCTACTGAACCGGCCACAGCAACAGCTTCCATGCACTGGTAGTTGTTTCTGAAAATCTGGCCTCCAATATCTTGTTCATCCCTAGAGAGGCATTGGTGAGGCGAACTCTTTAACAGATACGTTGCACTGCACACTTTCATACGTCTGCCTCTTTCTCACGTCTTCACTTGTCAGGATATGCATGGTTCCTAGCAGATCCCATGCCATGGTAATGGGGCGTCTTCCATATGCTAGCAGGATCTCCTTATACCGTTCATCCCTGTATGCTTGCATGGGATATAAGGACTCGTTGCCTTTCGACAGGGAAAAAGCAGTGGTTGGGAGACGGAGGAATAAAAGTAGCCACTCTACAGACAAGAAAGGAAAGCATAAAATGAGGAAAATGCAATCCAGATACTTTGTCAGATGTCCATATGCATAAGTATCTATATACATGTTCATAAAGTAGGTCTGTGTTGAACATGGTTCTCATGTTCAGGGCCACACACAATGTACACGAGTCCAAACACGTGCAGAAAGGTATGCAGGCCCATAGATGCACACACGAACTCACCAGTCCAGTCCAGTTATTGCATTGCTCGGCATGTGATCTGACAACACATCATCCTGCTTGGTGTAGCCCCTTCTTCTCTTTGAATATAAGTCAGTTCATGTTCGGCAATCTGTTCTGTGTATACAGTAAGAAGAGATCTTTCTTCAAATCTACGAGCTGGTACACCGAATGAGATTCTACAGTTCAGATTGTCTATATTAAGAAAACTTTGCATGGCACTGCGAGATCTCATGTAATGAATGGCCTGCAAGTTGGCGCACATATCAGTTCTTTCGAGGTTATTGCTAAGTTTGGGGTAGGTGATGAACATGAACACATTCCAATGCATCCTGGAGAGTGTTGAGGGTCAAGCGGATGGCTAATCATTCAAAGTTCAATTGAAATGTCTGCACACTCAGTGTTTGGCTTTGGGGTGTAGTGAATATCATCCTGGAAAGAAAAAGACCTACACATAACCGACTGAAGAAGGTCACACAAGGCATCTCTAGTGGGCTTGTACCAACATCGTGGGCGAGGGTGTGGCAAATGTGGTTGGTTTCTTACTCGTCTAATGGATGCGTCTGGTTTGATGTGCCTGATGTAAGTGTTCCTTTGCCGTTCTTGTGGAGCCACTATCTGTGCTGAAATGTATTGCTATCCTTGTTGTTGTAATGTGTAAAAGGAGCTTAGCAGATAATGAGCTGTCTGGATCTCTTCCAGAGGAGTTGGGAAGTCTTGCAAAGCTTCGAACGCTGTAAGTTGCAAACCGTATGGTAGTGTGCTTTTGGGCATGTGGAGGTCATGCACATGTGCAGACTCGAGGTCGTGACAGCATATTCGGTGTAGACTCGAAGTCGTCACATCAATTATTATGCCCTGAAGTGTTCCATTTATGTTAGCATCATGCCATCCAAGTTTTCAACCAGGTTTCTTTCTGTGTGCACGCATGCACTGTCAGGGTAAAGATAAGAGCATTCTTGTTACGGACTCCGCCAGGGCTCGATCCCTGGTCTATCTTTTTGCTGTTTCAGCTGCATCCCGTTTTCGGCCTGGCACCCTTTTTCCAAACTCCTCCTTTGGTACCGTAGGATTTCGGACAACTGGCGCCATGCTGCAATTCGGGCGCCACTTTCAAATACTGCATTTTTCAGTTCTGCCCTGGGGGCCTTTGCAGAAATGCCCCTGGTACCGTACGTGTCACCGGTACTTATACCGGCTCCCCGTACGGTATGGGGACCAGTCTCGTACCAGTTCTCTGCTGCTGTACTCGTACTCAGTGTGACTTGCTGTTTCGGCATTCGGAATCCAAGACTTCGGCTTTGTGCCTTGCCACCGTGTCTGCGTCCGATCCTCAGTCCGAGTCGGTCGTGTCGAGGGAGTGAGTGTGTGTGTGTGCTCTCACTCTCTCCCTCTCTCTCCTCTCCCTCGGCTCACCCTCAGCCTCACGCTCGTTACACTGGTATCGGAGCGGTTCGAACCCGCCCGACCCACCCTGCTTCCACGTCGTCACCTGGCCATCATCAACATCATCGTCGAGATCGTCGCCGCCGTGCCATGTCATCATCATCATCATCGTGATCGTCGTCATTGTGCCCCGTCATCATCATCACCGACGGGATCGCCGCCGTCGCGCCACGTCATCACCACCATGCCTGTCGTCCTCGTCGCTGCGCCGCGCCGTCCTTGTCATCGCGGTTGCGCAGATAAGTAATCAACGACAATTTTACTTTTTTTATTTTTTTTTCCTTCTTATCTTTTTCCCTCGTTTTTTTTTTCTTCTTCTTTAAATCTTCTTCTTCTTCTTCTTCTTCTTCTTCTTCTTCTTCTTCTTCTTCTTCTTCTTCTTCTTCTTCTTCTTCTTCTTCTTCTCTCCTGCCGTCGCGATCCCCCCCGATCCC